CCGATTTGAAAGTGGCACAGACTTATGCATCAGGGAATGGTGGCATAATTTTTTGCGACGTTAAGGTCACACCAGAGTTGTTGGACTTATAATAGGCAGAACTAAGATGATTTTAGGGAGTGGTTTCTGCCTTTGTCATTTTTTCTTTAACACAACCTTTTGATGTGGATTAACAATTTAAAAGAGCTAAGAATGAATAGTGTTGATTATTTTATTTTATATATTTTACCAGCAAAGCCATTTTCCAATCTAACTTTTGATCTAAAAGGTAAGATTTGACAGGGTGTCTTGGGGCGTGAAGAAACTGAGGAGAGAATGCCCTACCATGACCTTTGAAAACCAAAAGTGGAGTAACTGAATCACCTTAATGTGTTGCAAGGATCTACCAAACAGATCTTCAATCTTTTTAATGAGACATGACTGACCTAGAACCTAAAAGCTCGCCTTCCATGTTCCCATGAAAATTGCATACAAATAGATGAGAAGATCTCCAGTCTATGTTTAACTCATTATAGGTAAAAAATGTTCGTTAATTGGTCGCTCTGCTCTTTCATTTTTTAAAAAGGCGCCTTTAACAAGTTTTTGTTTCTTTGTTCCGCCTTAATTAGTCTTATGGTTGCCTCCGGTTACACAATGGAGGGCGTTGCTTTACTACTTGGTATGACTTTCATCGCGATCAATGTTTACGTCTGTATAAACTTGACCCACGGTAGGTTACCAAGAGAACTGCAAGCTACCCCTGACATCCTCCCCGAACCTCACGGCGTACGTTCAGCGCGGAGTGCAGAAAACAAACTTACTACTTTTAAAGCTTAAGTAGCAACAATATTTAAGAAACTTTTTGACTCTTTAGCCCTACTCTTCCGCTGAGAATTCGGCAGTGAGTGGACCACCGGATTATGAAACGGCTTGTAGAGAACCGCAGCCTATTCCCAATGACGATATGATTGCCTATCAACCACCTTCAACGAGTCCTCCACCTCTTGCAACGTTGACTTCAAACAATACTCCACCGTGAGGACACAAACGAATTGGCAATGTGGCATTTGTAGACGCTTGCTTTGCTTAAGACTCCTTTCCGCATCCAACTGGATTTCGGTAGTCTGTTATGGTACTTGTTGCATTATTCTGGACTTATTCACGGGTACTTCCGTTTTGAGCGTGTAAAGTGCATCTAATAAATCCAAATTTGTGCAAATAGTAAAAAGCGGCTCGTCACTCTGTTGACACCTCAAGCCAATGGATTACTGGTCGCAGAGAGCCGAAGGCGATTGGATAAAACCTAATCACAGAAAAATGTTCTTAAAATTCTATGGCAAGTGTTTCTTTGTAATCCTGAACACAGTATGTTCCACGTTGAAGTTATTCGGTTGGCTGTTTGATTTTCTGCATTTGTTTCTCTACGCGCATTACCTCAGGGATGCAACTTGTTTCTAATCCATTTCACTTGGCTGGAACTCTAATGGTGCCCAAATGCCACTCTCACCTCCTTGCCACATCGAGATTGAGGTTTCGGGTACTTTCCTCGAGTGCGTTATCAATGGAAGTGTAGAGCCTGTGAGCTCGAAAGTCCGCATGACTTTGATGACCCCTTGGTTGCTGGTTTCCTTCCGTAGCGTCAAGGTGTAGCATTCCACCGCAGAAACGGCTCTGACCGCTGCTCCCCCTTCAAGGCCAGCTGTCACCGTCACCGGTACATAATCATTTCTACTTGAGGACGCTCTTGTGAACGTACAAAAGAATTGGGAGACCCATAGTCACCAGCTCTAGTCGAGAGTGCCGAAAAACACTCGCGAGGTAGGCAGAGATACTGACTTCACCCCACTTCAATGCGATCCATACTGTCGAAGTAAAAGCTCCTTGATCAAGATGAAGTACTCAAAGGTTAACAAGGTCTTGCGGCGAGTTCACGCCCTTCAACGGTCACCTGGATGCAGGAACCGATTTGGGATCAATGAAATGGTCAATCGAAAAGCTCAAACCGGCACATCACTGACGACTCCACCAGTTTTGGACACGGTATTAACACCTGCCTGGGCAAGGAGAAGGGAAATTGTGCGACCGCGGCCCCAAAGAGGGATCCAAGGGAGCCCCTGAACTGCCTCTAGGTCAGGGCGCAAAATCAGTCCTGCTTCATGAACTGATGGTAACGAGCTTGGCGGTGCCGGAATCCAGACAAACCCTCCTGAACAAATTCCAATCAATTCTCCTGCCTCCCTATCATGAAATATTCAACAAAGCAATTAACCAATTTAAAAGTGAATATCTGGTTGCAAATTGACTTTTTTATATACACAATACACTCCAGTCAGCTAAAAAAAGAAAGCTACACTTGATTCCTTGAGGCCACTTTCACAGCAGAACTACGATATCTAAATGATGGCCTGAAAAATACCATCCCGACCACATTGAAACGATAAACAAATCAGAAGGCTCAAGGCAGATAAAGGGAAAGGGAAAGTAGAGGAGGAAGGAAATAGCAACGGGCCGATCTTGTCCGAGGTAGTGACCCAAATAACAGGGAAGAGGTGAGGGGTAAAAAGACAGCTTTACAATCGAGAAATCTGGTCAATTTGGCAAATTAATTCAACCGAGTGTCTCGACTCTGTCGGTATTGCTGTTATCGTTGTTGGCAGTGGTGGTGCAGCCGTACAAAGTCGATGAGGTGGCCAGGCAGTCGATGATACAGGGAGCGAGGCAGAGCACGTGCCGCCAGACACTGGAGGTTTACATGCCGCAGCGGTCGGAGACCTGATAGCGCCAGTACCCGAGCGCACGCCCGTCCCCAAGGCCACGTTGTCGTGTTGTTGCGCGTCGTCCCGACCACAGCCGTCCCTGGACAGGCGCCGGCAGACCTAGCGAAGCGAAGAGCGGAGGTTGTGACCGAGGAGAGGGAGGAGGAAGAGGGGGAGTTAGCAGCGAAGGATGCTATAATAACAGCAGCGGAGACAGCGGCAGATCTTAGAGCGGAGGTATTAGCTGACAAAGGACTGGTAGAAATGATGTTCACTCCGACATAAGCATCATCAGTTGCAGTGGTAGCGGGGGCAGCAGAAGCAGCAACATCAGTGGTGGGTCTGGGAGGGGAGGAAGTAGAGGCAATGGACCTAGTTGAAGTAGAGGGGGAGGAGTCGACGTCCATTGCTTCAACCCGGTCGCAGACGGCTCCTTCTTTCTCCACTACCGCATCTTCACCAAAGGGCGGGGGCATAACAGCGGCGTCAAAATGAGCCCCACAATCCAGAACGAGGGTGGCAACCAACTCGGCCTTCTGAGACTCGGAGAGAGTGTGAGAAGCAAGGATGCGACCGATCGGACGATAGCCGCAGGCGTCTTTGGCGTCAGGGTCGGCGCCTAGAGCGGTGAGGAGACGGAGGAGGTCCGCGTGTGGCAGCGGTAAAAGATCGCAACGCACCAAGCGCGAACACGACGCTGCCATGTGCAACGGACTTGCGCCTTCGTGAACACGTGGATCTAGTCTCACCAGTCTATTCACCTGTACATAAAGCATTTAAAATGTCCTTTCTGGTTCACGCTATTGTAGCATCATAGCCTGGGGGCATGCTCGTTATAAAAGTAGATTTGCGAAACTGGTAGCTTGGACGACATGATCAGGTTTATAGAAAACTCACACGAACATGGCAATCCAGTGAGCAATGAAACCGGGTCGTAAAGAAGTCAAATGTGTGATTAAAAAAACTACACCCTTCATCTACATGCTGCCTCTTTCTCTTCCTTTTTGTAAACGCTGTAAACTTTGGAGTGTAGCTTCACTTAACGCGTACGCACCTGTCGGAAGAAGCGTTTCAACAATGCAGGAGTCATTTTGCTGCGCATCTCAGCGTGTTCCGATTCCGAAGGCACGAAGATGTTCCACGCAGTGGACGTAGGCAACTCTTCCAAGGCCTCCATGGCGTCAGGCATTGCGGTGGTTGCTTCTGTGGGGGTCTCCAGCAGCGGAAAGGTGCCTGAGAAGATGGGTGCCCGTGTTGGTACGGCTATCCCGTTTAGGGCGTGACGGAACACCTCCAGCCGTTGGCGGTGCAACGGTGGGGGACGCGCTTCAGGCGGGCAGAAGTAGTAAGCAAGAAGGGCGATGAAGTGCAGGCAGAGGCGTACGTGACGATGCAGATTCATCGCCTCTTTATCTGCGCTCGTATACGCCCATGGCATGCGCCCATGCCAGTGCGGATAGGAGTACTCCATACCCCTAAAATTAAAATCACTCAAATTGGACTTAATTAGACATTTTTAAGCAGAAAAAACATCGGACAAGTCTACTATGGAGGGATTCGCAATCTACGAAATATGGTCGTGTTCCATGGGTGTGCATTTCAGTGACTGTGCCCGCCACTATGGTTACCAGGCTCTGCCACAGCAGTCATTTCCATATGTAGGAGAATGAATGATACTTGACACGTAATCAACGCACAACCTCCCGTTGCGAATTCGCACAAGAAACAAATTTTTAATGACAACAACGGACACAATCCCTTATGAACGAGTAAATTTTTGGGTAGTTAACACACGTCAAGTAGAGTGCGGTCCTCCGCCCCTCCTGTGACGTGCGCAGAATGGCTAAATGCTGAAATGAATTGAAAGCACATTTGAATGGACAGGACCAGGACTTCATGGAACTGAATTCGGTCGCACCATTGGCCTTCAAAAGCAAGACGATGAAAAGAGGACCCACTCCCTAAAACTATCTCTTTTCTCCACTTTACGAGCTAGGGAGGTTGCACTTTGGCTTAAACAGCCGTTCCTGTTAACTCTTGCTTAGATTCTGAAAAAAAGGATGCACGACCACTTTCTCCACAGTAGAATAAAATACACAGCTTCCACCTCACCTCTCAATGTTGTCAATAGCAAGTTCAATGGAGTCGACGATGAGGGAGGGCTGCAAGCGGACAGCACGGAGGCCAGAGTATCGATTGGAGAGGACAATGTTGTAGAGCTCCGCGAAGGCCAAGAAGGAGGATTGCGAGACGTAGGAGAGGGGTTCAAGAAAGACACGCTGCAGTTCAATGGCGTAGCGCCAAAATGCAAGGCACTGAGGAATTGCTCCCGTGTCCGCGTATGTCGCTCCACGGTAGCTATTGGGTTGTAAAGGCTCACCTAGCTTAAAGAGTCGACATTTCGGCTCCTTCAACCTTAATAATCTTTACTACTTTATTGTTGAGATGCATCAACAAGACGAGTGATTCACGTTTGCCTTTAAAACGAGTGACTGGCAGGGATGTTTGATGAACAATGCGGCTAAAAAGCGCTTCTAAAACCCCAGGAACAGAACAAAACGGTGTCAAGCACTCATCAAGAATCGCCTATTCAAAACTTGTACGCTCTGCCAGCGGTCCACAAGCAGCAAGCTAGTTTAACGCCATCGCCTCACCGTAGAAAGTAGATGGTGTCGGGGTGATCAGGACCTAAAATCCGCAATCGAATGAGTAAAGGCTGCAAAGGCAGCGCGTAGGCATCCTGAGTGACGTGCTTTAGCTCCACAAAATTGGCGAACTCGCGGACTAATCCGAAGGCAGTTAGGCTGTACCGCCGCAACCGCGTAATCAACAAAGGCTCCGGTTGGGATGCCGCTGCTTCAGATTGAAGCTTCTCCTCCGCTGCCTCAAAAATCTCGCATGGGTCGACTGTACCACGCGAAATCGCCTCCTACAAATGATTCCTACCTCATTATTTGTCGGCAGAAATGACATTTCGTCATCATTAGAGAATGGATTAAAGGTCTTTTATTAATAAAATGAAGCGAATCAGGGAAATAATAACATACTTCGGAAACAGAGAAGTAACGGAGCCTATATGCCTCATCGGATGCGGTGGGTGACTGGGGCTGAGACGTAACATCACCTAGAAATAAGCAAGAAATTTAGAGAAATACCAAAGTTAGTAGTATGGAGGTAACTTTAGGAAATTTGTCTCTTAACTTGGTCCGATTTCTGCGATTTGATTTAACTTCCTCGAGCATTTGAAATGACGCAGCGAGATCATCCCAGTAAACTATTTCAAGGTAAAGATGGAAAGCTTAGGCCAATCCAAGAAAAGCGACTTCTACCTCTGACATTAAAAAGGCCTACGCAAACGCTTCTCCATGGTTAGGTGGTGGCTGAGGTAAAACAGGAATGTATCTTTCGAATTCGAAAGTGCGCTCAACTTTTACAAAACCTTACAGAAATTATGGGGAAAATGCAGACCTTCAGACCAATTTCGGCGGACCAATGAGGAGTCAAAGATGGCACACTTTTTAGCAACGTAAAGAAGAACTTCTGTGGAGGTTCAGCCAAAATGATGCAAAACGACAGGATATTCACAGGACGTATACAATTGTCGTTTTACACATGACTCCTCCACCATAAAAAAGTTTACACAAATAACCTTTAGTATTTTCGGTGGGAAAGTTCTTTTACTGGTGAAAAGTTGACCTACTTACTCTGTTCCCCTTCAAGCGGCCGACGAATGTGACGCGAAGAATGGGGATAAAAGTCAGGCTCCACACCAAGCACAGCATCAACAGCCGATCTGAGCTGTTGTTCCGGTGACTTCAAGCCATTACTTGTCCAATTCGCACACAAAGATGGGTCGGATTTGTAGAGGGCAAGCAGATGTTCATACTGCCGCGCTAATACGTTAGCCCGTGCAGCATGTCTAAATAAAAATGATTCTTCGTTAGAATAATGTTAGTAAGACAGGTCGGTTGAAAGCCAATAGCTAAAGATCAATTTGTCACTACAACCTAAGAAGTTCCGTGGTAGGCAACTAGGCTATGCTACTGATAGGCAATGAGTAGAAACAACCCACTTTTGAGCCCAAATAGGATCCGCGGTAATGGTTGAGGGCAGCGGTGGAGGAGGTCTCTTAAGAACTTCAGCGCTGATTTCATTTGCCCTAACATTATAACACCCCCTTCCCCTCTTCTTCTTTGCCATCTCCAAAGCGACAGCGTTGTACGCGGTGGCTTGAATGAGGCTCCAAGCGTAGTGGTTACGAGCGCCCTCCTCCACGGGAGGGAGGCGTTTGGTGTAGCCGAAGTGCGATCGTCGCAGGCACATTGCATACCGCCACTCAATGACTGCATCTTGCACTCTGGACTGTCTGTTTGATGAGAAGGGAAAGTGCAGACTTCTTAAAAACTTCAAGTGGTAGATAGTAACTGAGGCAGAAGATCGACTCACTGCTTTCTTACCTCGTCACGTAACACTACCTGAATAAGGAAATCATCTGGTGCAAAATGTCTTAGCAAAAGATTCTTTAGAAGTGTATTGATCTAGAGTCAGAAAATTTTCGATGTTGAGAGGAGGAACCACTGCTTAAAATAGGACCATAGGTGACAACCTGTCATAGAGAGAAGCACCCAGGAGCTCGTGTGCGGCAGCTTGTTCCTCGACTGGGACAACGAATTCACCAGAAGGCGACCGCAATTCCGACAGATATTCTACAATCTGAAGACCGCAAATGTGAGCTTAAGCCATACAATGGGGTAGGAAAAGCATTAGCTACTTATTTGCAAATAAGTATGAGCGGGGTGCTGACCGATTAGCATATTATATTGAACGTACTTTAGGGAAGGTTTTTGAGAAAAAAAGTAAACCTTTTTGTAAGCAGAATTAGCGCCTGAGATAATAGGCGTCTGACCGTATTCGTCAGGCCGCATTAAAGCCCCGTAGCGAAGCAGGAGGATAAGACTACGCAGGTTACCGCTTTCCGCGCAATCGTGCAGAGCCGTGTTGCCTAGGCAAGAGATTGACCAGAACTGATTACTACTTTGCTTTTCTATTAGAAAGAAAGGATATAAAAAAATCGTCCGCAAAACAAGTGGCACTGAAATGGCCCTCACGAGTACACTAGATGAAACGCGACGCACCTTTGGCCGATCGCCGATTGACGCGAGCCCCTCTGGAAAGAAGGTATTTGACAATGTTTTCGTGCCCACGGAAACAGGCGATCATGAGGCACGTGTGCTCGTGCCGATTGGGTGTCTCGACATTGGCGCCTTGCTCCACGAGGTAGCGTACAACCTACGGGGAAAGGAAATAATCACGAGCCGTTGATTGGTATACCCAAGGCCGATTTGCATTCCACCTTCCGTCTGCAGTCGTCGATAATGCAGTTGAACTAATTTGACCACAGAACCTGGCAACTTTCATTCCATGTAGACAGGTGAATGGCACTAGTTCCAATTGTTATTTAAATTGCAACAAAACGTCGCTTAACTCAAATGCGCAGTTGCTCGTGACTCGCCTTTCAGGCCAGTGACACATTTCTGGTATCACAGCTCTTCTACTCCAAACGCGTGATGTCTAAAATGGTTTCTTTTTGGTGAAAACTCAAGCGCTGCATTAGTGGCAGTGGTGAGGAAATTCAGAGCAAAAGAATAACAATCCCCAATCTGCTCTCTCTGCTGGAAGAATCTACAAAGACCTCGCCTAGGACTAACAAAATTGACTCGACCCACGGCATCTAATTCAATCGAGTAATAAAATGAGTCTTTATTTGAGCAGACATTGAAGGTTCACAGAAGTTTTGGAAAATGACCGCCATCTAGAGACCTTATGCAAGAGTAGCTTGAGAGAGGACGTCTTTGTAATTTAATAAGTAAGCGACGAGCAGAAATTAGAATGGAAAATACATTCACTTGGGGACACTGTTTAGTTTTGAGCAATGCAATTTGACTAAATCTCTAAGACGAAATTCGTGAAAGGGATGAAATCAACCAGATGCAAACGGTCCTTGAAAATGCATGCCCTTTAACCCTGAACAAAGATATGCGTGACCAATTCTTTCCTCTCGAAGTGGTCACTCAAATACCCCGGACTACCAGCTGACGATTGAAGTCGAGGAATGACAACACTCAGGAGGGGAGGGGAAGTGAGGCATGCAACACAACCTACGCAACGGTGGCGTGAGATTGTTTCACTCAACTCTCAACCATGCATACGTTATTAATGAATCTCCCCCCAAACCCGTACGCTTCGTAACGCCTTCATGAATAACTTGAATGCCGACGTAAACGAGAGCCAAATAGGAAGCGGTGGCCAGTCAAATTGAGGTCAGATTTTACCCTCTCTTCTCATTCGCCTTTCAACGAAGTGCACTCAAATAGGATGAGATTTGGCTCACGATTTGGAAAAAAGTCCCATCACCACAAAGTAAGGTTATGGTAGTTTTAGTTCGTGTTGATCAGACTATCACGCAGATTGAAACGAAAAAAAACGCACAGAACTCGGGGGCCACGTGCTGAACTAAAGAAGCTCGGAATAAACAAATGCATAAACACTACCGGATATTTGACACAGAGATGGCTTTTTCCATTCAAAATTAACTCACCCCACTTTCCGAACGCCGTATTACCTTGCAGATTGGGGTCACGAAACAATAACCACTTTTATTACGCAGTTCAAACTAGTGTGGATTTTATCAACTGCTTTTGGTATAATTCTTTTTTGGAAACAATGCACTTATATGAACTGGTGGAAATCTTAAGACTAAAACAACCCAAGAAAGTAGAGGGCACGAAGTGATTTGAGAGCGCAGGGTAGAATTCAGTGAATGGTGTTTATCAGAACCTGGAGTGCGAAATAGCGGTAGTCATACCTCTCAGCTTGTGCCTTATTTGCGTAAAGTTTTGTGAAAGTATGAGTGCTTCTGATAGAAGTAGACGTGTGACCGTCATTTAGGTGGATCATTGCAAACTCGAAAATGATTCAATTATGTGCAGAGGCAAAGCAAGCTGAAGCCTAAGCGGTTTGACTAAATGAGGAGTTGATTGTCTTAAACCCGCAAATGTCCCAAAAACGTTCGACGAAATAAAAGTGACTGAAAGCGTGAGAGGAGCTTAAGGAGTAGTATAAATAGAAACGCCGAAAAAGGCTGCTCTTTATGAAAAGATTGCGGTGGTAGTAAGTAATAATGATGTGATGGAATGATACAGGAAGAGGCTTATCCGTAAAAGTCCAGCAACTCGAATACATGGCCCAAGAGAAGCGACTTAAACAATATTAAACAAACCTCTTCATGACCATCAAAGCAGGCAGCGCGCAATGCGGTAGAGTTGGTGATAGTAGTGCGATTCACGTCAGCACCACGGTCGACAAGAAATTGCACGATTTCGAGATAGTTAGCAGCGGCCGCGCACCACAATGGTGTAACACCTTCCACTGCCTCACCGTCAAAGTGGACGGTACCGACCTTTCAACGAAAAAGTGGCAAAAGCAGCTTAGAGCATAGTGCAAAAAAGGACTCCCAATGGCTGCAAGCCCAGGGGCACGATGAATGGGAGAAAATGCAAACCTCTTGTGTCGAAGCAACCATAGTAAAGAAGTGGACCACAATAAAAAATGCACACCTGCTCCATATCCGCCCCACAATCGTCCACAAGATATCGCACAATATCCGGTTTGCCTTAAAAACAATAAGAGAGCTTACTTTAATTACCATTTCGACAGGCAGAGATTAAAGCTGTTTGCCCGGAACTGGTGGGTGTGTTGATGATGGAAGGGATGCTATTTCCTCTCCGCTCTGCAATCTGAATGTGCTTCTTCAGTAGTTCCATATTTCCCTCTGAGCAAAAGGTTATAAGCTCTCTAACTTCGATCATTTTCTCGCACCCAAACATCTGCATTTTTATCTGCTAAAATATTTCAAAAGTGCCGGCTTTTACCAAGCTGATTAAAAACAATTGTTATGGATATTTAAGTAAATAAAAAAGCTTTTTCGAAGTTAAAAGTTGTTTAAAAGCACTGCTTAAAGTTTAAGATCTAAACTGCAAAGACCCTCAGATGACAGGCGTATTGAGTTATTATCTGTTCATAATTTACTTATGTTCTTCATCAGATATACAGGTTTCATTCACATTAATGCCTCCTCATTGTAAGGCAATCATTTTAACAGCATGAATGCATCTTGGTGTATTTATCTAAGTCTGTCAGAAGACTGTCGCAACACGTTGGCATCTATAAGGTAAGCATAGTGTAATACTTATGTTGTTTTAATGTACCTTTCAGGGAGGAGGCAATCAGGAAACTCGAATCTGGTGACCGGATCTTCCTCTCCCTTACCTAGTGACTGCGGCTCCCCTCCTTCTTGAACACTGTATTTTCCTTCTCCATCTTGTCACCTTTAATAAAGATGTCCAAAACGAATCAACCGGGCTTGCCTAGGAACGCTAGGAATAGGGAAGCGGAGACCGATGAGTTTCGCTCCACGATAGTGTTTGGGTTCATCATTTTACCTAAATCATTGTATTTCAATTTAGTTACCCTTCTTTATGGCTCCATCCAACTTCCTTAAAGATGGAAGAAGACATAATACCTGAGAAAAATATGTGTGTAATTAACATACAGTGGGTCCTCAATTTATTGGTGTGACCCATAGGGGAACCCACTCGGGCAAGGTATGGAGACGGAGACCTAAATTATCCCCCCTGCCAAAACTGGGAGTTAAACAACCATCGCACTACATTTGTTTGATCAAATTCATTTTCCCTCTTAAATATATTCTCCTTTTGTGCTGTCAATCAAATGTGCCAAAAACTTGCTTTAATGCATGATTTGCATCATTTTTTTTCACTTTTCGAACAGCTACTGATTTATTTTACGTTCTACTTTTTACATGACTTATACATGATTGTACAAGGAGGGCACGCCCTAGAACACCACTATTAGCTCTTTTATTGTCCATAAAATACCCAATCCAGTAAGTAATGGTCCGTTTTGAGTGGATTCCTCGACTTTAGTACTACTTTTGTATTGGGACTCTGGAACGTGTTACACAAAATTCATTGTTGTTTTAGACATTTTATTAATTTGCTGCAATTAGTAATGCTAAACGCCACATAGTTCAGAATTCACAAAACAAACATTATCTTCCAAAGAAATACATTTCTCAGTCATCCTTTACTGACTAAGTTTTTTGACCGAAAGAAAAAAGAAACATATCATCTCCACAAGCAACGAATACTTGTCCTGCGTCGATGCAAGGCAATACGAAATGAAGCCGCATGAAGCAAATCTAGTAGTCTGAATACAGTGTTTCGCCCTCCAGAACATCGCCGCACTGCATATTCATCCCTGGCGGTGGCGGTGGTGGTTTGACGGTCACCTCACCCTCCTCCTGCATCTTGGAGTTGCCAAAATCATCAAATAAATCTATGCACTTTTGTCCATCCTTTGAATAAACACGCGAATGTGCTGAAAGTGGGACAGACAAAAATTTGTCTTCTTCTGGCGGCGAAACACTAAAGTACCTTTGTATCCAATATATCGAGACCGATTTAAATTTTACTCTAGCAATATTTATGGCAATTGATCCTACCACTTTTTCTGAATGTTTGGTAAAAATGTGACATTTTATTCATAACATTATGGTGCTGTTCAAGTAGATAAAAATCTATTACAGTCTAGAATTTGTTTACAATTGACGGGCAATCAGGTTGCTACAAATTTGAACATGGCGGATGAAATTAGACTTGAAACTTAGTAGAAGCGATTCATCTACTGTAGTCTCACTTTTTCATCCCAGTTATAGTTACCTCCTTGTCCGAAAAAAAAGTCTGGGCGAATAACTACCAGCCTAGGTCATTCCCGGCATGCATTGATCGTGGGAGTGGATGGGTCACAGGAGATCGAGGTCAAACTCACATTTCACCAGCGACGGCGCACTTCTAGCCATTCGCAGTGTTCTCACTGGTAGGGCACAGCCTTTAGACTTTGGCAGTGACTGGGCTTGACCTCTAGGTGATGAGTCGCTTGCTGGTAGATAGATATTTTTAAAAAAATAAACGTAAAGCAGATGTGGACACAATCAATGTCTTGCCACTTTTTCCGTCATAATCCTTCATGACTGCTGGATTAAAATAGCTTGCTTTGATAAGTATGGACCCAGTCATTCCGGAGCTCTCTATTCATCTTGGATCCATCTATCCATCCAAAATCCATCTATTCATCCACCCTGGATCCATCCATTCATCCATCTACCCATTCATACATTCATCCATCCCGGATTTTTTATTCATCCCGATTCTATCCATTCATCTTGAAGACATCTGTGCATCCATCCATCCATCCATTTTAGCCAGCTCAACTGACTTCACTAATGCATCCGCCCCAGATGCATCCTCTCGCCCAGCTCAGATTCGTCCAACTTTTCAGCCATCCATTCAGATACGCAAACAGAGAAGGGACTCACTACTGTTCTGCAACTGGAGGTTGATTGCTCTTCCTGGCTTCGCAACAAAGATTTCGCTTAGCGATGTCGTGCTCGAAGGATTATCCTCTTTTCGCGTTAACAAGGGCGCCCGTCGTCCGGCGGAATTGGCTACTCGTGGTTTTGGCCTGAGATTTCCGTATCCACGTCTATCCTTCTAAAAGGAGTGTCGAATTCTATTTTATTTTCAGTTATCTTTTTAAAAAGGAAGAACGTTTAGAAGATAAAAGTAATTCAAGAATCAAAATTAAATCTTGCTTCCATCGATGGCTCATCTATTCCTTGTAGAGGCGGTGGTCGTTTTAGGACTTGAGCCACGTCAAAATTTATTTACGCAACCGTTTCAACTGTCACTGCATACATCTGCTCCAGATCCATCCACCCGTTTAATCACCGACCTAGCCTTCCCCTCCATCCGATTACTTCTCTCCACCAACTTCCAACTCTACTCTGTCCACTCATCCAACCATCAGAACTGGCAAGAACAGACCTGACTTCCACTAGCCTTCTTCGTGGAATGCTTAGTGGATCTAGTAGAGGTGCCTGAAGCCACATCTCGTGTAGACTTGGCATTCTTCTTTTGGTAGTGTCCGTAGGAGGAGAAGATGCGTCTTTGGTTGACCTTGAAAGAGGCCTGATTGACCTTGTCAGTACTCATTTGGCGACGCAGTGGGGTCATCATGCCTCGCAAAGCTGATCGGATGAGTAAAAGTTGTTCCTCCTCCGATTTTGTAGTTAGTCTAAGACCAAGTTAACACGTTTCAAGGCAACAATTTGGAACGTGTTTTGGACGATAGGTGGATGAACAAAACAACCGTGAATCTACTTTGGTTTTTTTTGATCTGCCAATTTCTTGACAACTTTCTCCACCTCTGATAGGGTTGCATTCAAGCGGGCGTAGAGGTCGCGAAGGACGTCGGTCCTCTTCCCGTGCAGGTCCATGTTCTCAAGACGTTTACGCTAAAGTGAACACAAAAGGTGGCAAAAACCGAAGACTCCCCAGTAGTTTAGACGCAAAACTAACTGAAAAGACTTCAAAAAAGTGGTAGTCATGTAACAGCAGGAACGACTTAACTGGCAAAGGGATTTGATTTGATGGCCTAACTAGGTCATCTTTTGGTGCTTGGGTTAAGGACAGGGAGATTGGCACACTAGGGCAGTCATCGCATAGACCCATCCACCTGTCTCTTCATTCAACTGCTCCTTCACAGCCTCGTCGGCCAGTCCATCCACCCGAACATTCAGCCCTCCAGGCGCGTCATTTGCCCGAACCACCGCTATGCTAGCCAAACACCCACTTGTTTCTGAAGGCATTCATCAGACGTCACCTCGTCCATTCCAGACTACATCCGTCCAGATGTATCTGCGTCACTTCACGGTGTGGTGAAGTCACTCATTTCCCTACCAAATCACAAGCCCAAAAATCCCTCCAGCCATCCATCCACTTATATACACGTCTGGTGAAAAAAGTTGGTGGTAAAGAGACAATAGCAAGTCTAAACAAAGCAAATTCCTCTTTTTTGCTGAAAAAGTGAAGCCCTTATTGTCTTCCAGGTGGATGGGAGTCATATACACACATACACACTAATTGCATCAGCTCTCCAAGCTCTTGAGCTTCTAGTCATTACGATCCCAATGGGTTAGTGTCAACGATTTCTCCCCTCAGATGATGAAGGAGGTGACAAATGAGGGGTGATGAGGAAACACTTAAAACCAGGCAACAAATGTGTAAACAACAAAAAAGGAAAAAAGAAAAGGCGGGAAACCTGTATGCCACTCTTTTGGCGTTCCTCCATTAGTTGGAGTTGCAATCGTGAGACCAACATCTGTACGAATGGAATAGAGCAACAAAGAACTCCTGTGATTGGGCGTTGCCAACGCGGTTTGTTGTATCCAAGTTCTGCCTTGACGCCGTCAGTTAATGGGTTTTAGAGGATTCGAGGCTACAATCTACCTACTGGTCGCACACGCACAGCTCTTATGCCTTGGCTATGATGGAGCGGAGGAGGGGAAAAGTGAAAGTGAAAGTCATTGTTCCCTCCCTCACCACCGCTAATAATATCCGGTGCAGAAGTAATACTAGCTCATGACACAAATAATAATGGTATGGAATGATAAATGGTTGAATGGTATAAATAAGCCGCAGGCACATGACTGCTCCATCTGGCCATCCATTCAGGCATGATAAGGGAGTCGTGGGGCTGCCGGAGGTGGTGAAAGCAACTGCAAAATAACCGCCTACTTAATTTCGAGGACTGGAGACAGGGGAGACAGTATTACAGGCGATAGGTGTCTAATATTAACATTAGAGTGTCCGAAGGCTCACATCACAATGCTATGGTGGGAGCAGAATGAAAGGCGAAAGTTATGGACCATCAAAGTCTGCCCTCATGACATGTCAACAAAAACCTCAATAAAATTTGACTCCGAAGGTACAATAATTTGAAATCTGCGTGGTAATTAACTTTACTCGTCCAATCCCCTATCTCCTGTTTGGAAATTTCTAGTCATCCACATACTACTGTAGTTATCAAATCAGTAGAGTGATCACGGGCAACATCTGGGAGGATGTCTAGAGCATGATGGGAGAACTGTGCAGCAAAGTGACGCATGTTTTAGTCGTATATTTGACATTCCTCATCAGTGGTGCTCTGCAGATCGCTTAGACATTATTATAGCCTTTTAGCCCCTTAGCAGTGGAGCTCTGCCCCCGCCCCTTCCCTCCCATTCCCGATGCAATCTGCAACGGCATATCTAAAAGGTGACATTTGAAGGGATTTCATCGCTTCTTCCAAACCTTGAGTTAATTTTAAGCTACTCTACTAAGAAAGAGTGGATGAAAAAACAAAACGACTTTTATTCCTTCTTACCATGTGTTTCTTCAACTGTTGACGCAGTCGGCTCTCAGGTGAACCCTCCTTGGAGCGATGGGAGGTACCTTTTGCAAAAGTGTTAACGGACGATGTCAAAGTGCCAGTGGAGGAGGTTTTTCTGGCCTCCACACCACCCACACTCGAATTGGAGGGAAGAGAGGCCTTTCGCAATGATGATGGTGACGACGACAGTAAGGAGGTGCCGTTTGTGGATTGTTTCCCATTCACCAAATCCATCTTACTCAATGTAGTCATTAGACTTGGTGGAACTTTAACCATTGCCTCAGTTTTGGCTCTACAAGTGGACAGCACTTTATTGATAGTAACCGACATGCTAAAGGGGAGAGGTGCGTTCAATCCAAACCGGGAATTACGAGTTTGTAACCACTAAAAGACATGCCATTGTAGCTTCACCAAACGCAATTGCAAGTGACGAGTCGGTCTCGACTTTGTGAGTCAACATAGCGAGCAACGGTAGTAGAACGTGGATGTAACAATGGTTGGTGCCTAAAGAAGTACGGTGATGGGAACGCTCAGTTACAGTAGGACATTTGAACGGAGTAAACACTTCAAAGACAGCCCTTCAACTGTCAGTCACGGTCGCCGATGTGACAGCCTGCTTGCAGTGCAGAGCCTTGGTGACCGCTGTTGTGGACGTGCAGCCAATGCAGAGGAGTTGGTGGATGGAGTAATACCACCTGTCATGGAATGGTTCAGTCGTACTGTTAAGTCTATGTGCTATTGTCGCATTGGTGTCCGTGTTGATTAACACACTCCCTAAAACATTTGCTCCAACTAGTCCAGTGCTTTATTCTTTATAACCGACAAGAGCAATTAAAAATGGCATAAAATAGCTGCCTACATTATTGGATTGATGGGAACGAACTACCTGAAGGCCTGATACTTCGTTCAGTTGATAAAAGATGGCCAAAAGGAACAAAAGTGAGATGCGATTATGTGGAGCTACCTCCCGATGTGCACTCTGTCAAATCCCTTCTTGTAAGGTAAAACTCCTGACAAGAGGTGATTAGTAACAGGAATGCGCTTGCAAAAGAACAACAACCGAACTGCAGTAAGGCGAAAAATGATTTCCCAGAATGCAGTTGCCAAGGCAAATGCAGCTAATGAACTCATCAAAGTCTGTGAGATTCATAAAATCTTCTTAATTCTGGATCCTGTCGAGCTTCCAAGCAGATTAAACATGCAGACTTCAATGCGGAGGTCTCTACTGATAACCATTATAAGTAGGCTGACCGGGAACTTGGGACGTGTGTACGTGACTGTTGGCTGAATGGAAGAGACACAAGGTGATCGCATTTTTATTGTCTTTGGTATTACAGTCTACCTGTTCTGCCTTTTCGTGATGCTTGCTAATCAAGGCAATCTAATGAGAGCGCAAGTCCCGCAGGGAAGTTCTAACATGCTTGGGAATTAAGCACGAAAAAGGCAACTTTTCGAAAACCGAAGGTGGAACGCTTTCCAAAGTTGTTGACATCCTCAGAAAATTTGCACTTCAGTGTAAGCCAAAGCCCTTAACTCCAGGATGAGTATAATGCAGAGGACGCCGTGGAGTTGCGATGGCTACTAGTGTTATTCGGTCCACTCCCCAGTCCCACCCCCCTCTTCCCGCCGCGAGTCGGTCTTGAAGCCTATGATAGCTGTACAGGGCTCTGCTTTAACTCTATAACGACCTTATACCCAATTCTGAATGCTTTAAAACGACTTTAAGGCTGTAGTATTGACACATTCGGCAAAAACTCACGTAGTCTCGGTGTTACGTCTGGCTCTAGCCGCAGTGCGCCATGGAATGCCACGTACAATAGCGTTCTCATCATGTAAATTGTTGTTGTAGTTAGATTCATCATCCCCACCGAGATAGACACTTGTGATACGTGTTAGACCAACCTTCCAGGGTGTGTTTTGAGCGGAGACACTGGCCGAGCGTGACAGACGAGACTGGCGCGTACCCAGACGAGGCGCCGGTTGTGGTGCTTGTGTTGCACTGTTTAGACGAGGTAGACTTTGAGCACGTGCTTGAAGCAGTGGTCGAGAGGTCAAAGGTCCCCCTGCAGGCTGAAACGTTGATTTTTGGGAGGATGTGTTGTGGATATTATATGACTAACAAAGAAGCTGATAGCTGGTTCTGTCAGCTGCTAAATGGCAACAATTTTGATACTCCCAAAGTGCATCATTCTTGACACTCTTCTTCATTTCGATGACTGAATACTGGGGGAAAAATAGTCCAGGTGGAAGGTGCCAGATATGAACATCTGAGCGTCCAAAGCTCCACACTGCAATGATTCAGGGAGAGCAGAATGGAGCTAGAAGAAATCAGTTTTCAATAGTTCACCACAGCATTGCGATGAAAGGGAGATTGATTTGACATCCGTGTTTCGACGCCTTGCAAAGACAAGGGCTAAACGGGGGACTTGCAAGGGGACACATCATGGTGTAACTGAGAAGGGCAATGCCACTGATGAACAGCGTCCTGCCAACAAGCAAGCAATGTCTTGCCCACGTTTGAATCGGCCGCCTCTATGGCTTAAGATGCATAACTAAAACGAGTCTCTGGAGTATCGGTGCGATGTAGGATTGGAGGCACTTCATGGATCTGATCTTAGAAATGAATCTTTATTTCTCTAATACAGCAAAATGTTAATACGAACTTCTTTGCTTCCACAATTTTAAGCCAGGACAAGTTGGCTGAGGAATGACTTAAGAGACAAAAAACCTTTCCATGAGGAAATCTTTTTGCAAATCAGTCATGGAGATCGCCAAATTTTGTGGCTGACTTTTTCAATATTTCGCCCAATTTTAGTCGTGACAAAAGGAGGGAATTGCAAAAAGCCTTCAGTTAGAAAATGAATACCTTGTGCCTTCTTTAAATTCATCAGTTTTAAATCGCGAATGGGTAGATTTGTGGTGGAAAAACAAATTTCTTAAAGATGCTTAAATCAGATCAAAGTGGGTCAGCGTCCATCGATGCAAATCAAATCCTTCTTCTAAGAGAAAAAAAGTGGGGGAAATTTAATTCAAAAAGGTATTCTTAAAGTGGTTCCTAATGAATAAAAGCCGGTGGGGCCACTACGCGGCAATTTGATAGTTTGTTTAACCATCTGGACGCTTGTTCCTCCACAGGCTTTCGGCGAAATGGCCCTCCGGAAATGCTAGTAGCCTTCCATTCCTTCTCTACGACAGTAAATTGTATGTTCTTGTATACCAGCCTGGCCTATTACGACCTTAAGAGGGACTTGTTGCATTACAATTCACCGAGACAAATTCTCCACTTTGAAAGCCGGCGTTGCCAGAAATCTTAAAGACGGTTGTCTTCCCTTTACAGATAAGAGGAAATTGATGTTTCCTTATGAAGGAGCACTAACACCTCTTTTGCATTGACATGTTTTAACCATGAGTGTTTACAAAATGAGATGCCACCAATGCCCTCAGTGCTGTGTAGCGGTATGCTACTTGTTTCAAGGGGCATTTGCCTACGCGGGCCCTTCAGTCTCGGTAAAAATATGCGCCAATCATGGCGGCTTGGCTCTCTGGCACGCCTTTTTAGACGCTGACAGGAGCCCAATCTTCTGCCATTAACCTACCTTATTAGGGCTCTAAGGAAAAATTCGTGACGCCACAAGTGCTTTGTCACCGTTCATGCCCTCCAAGCGCTCTCAGCGAAGGTGGATACATATTGTGATGGTCACTTTATTTGCTTTGCCCAGTGAAAAACCCACTCAGAGGAAGTGCTGCTTCCTCTACTTTCCTTAAAAGTATTCAAATAAGTCGCACAGTTACGAATAGTTGCCTTTTGTTATTTACAAAAGCAGAACATACTGTCTACTAATGCATAGAAGGCCTGAAAGGCTACTAGCATGATCGGAAGGCCGTACCACCGAAAGCGGAAGTTCAATCCCCGCAGTCTAAAGTGCCTGGGCAAGTAAACATCCAGTTAAGCAAAACATCAAGTCACTGTATTAATGTGTCAAAGTCGTCAAAAGCCTTCAAAGTTGAAGCATGTCAGTAAAAATATGACAATGGAGTGCCAAAATAACACAAATAAATTCGGCTTTTGGGGTGATTTTAGGTACGTAAACACTGCAAAGTGTACTGGATCCCGTCAGTATGCATTAAGAGCTACTTAGCTATTAAATGAAGCCACCTAGTCTCCCAGTTCTTTAGTAGACCAATGAGAAATACCTCGACCTCTGAACTTGCAGACCCCCTAACAGCTTCAAAGTGGACCTTGGTGACGAACTGCTCCTGCTGTACCGTAGTTCAGGTCACACCTGGGAAAGTGTGCAAAAAACGACAAAGAAGGGAAACATCCGTTCAATTTGTGAACTGCCAATGCAATAAACTTAAAACTCATGGGGAAAATTCTCAGGCATTGATGCCTGCTAGTGTTTTGAACGATGAAAGGTGGGTCATTAAAATCAGAAAATTGCTCCAAGAAGCCACTCACTACCGTGTAGTTCACTAAACGGCATATTTTTGCTCTTTTTTGGCAACTGTCTGGCTGAATTCCTGCTATCAGTGCCATCGCTGGTGGTGAATAATCTTTGAAGGTCAAACATGACAGAATTCTCTAACAAAATGGCAAACTTTGTAAAGTCTCCCTGCTAAAACGGGAAAGCATTGTTTGATCGCCTATCCTACCTCGCCTGGATATTATTGTGGTGGCTGAGCGAGATAAGTAACTGATAGCGCTCACCAACATTTACACTCAACTGACAAGTAAATGACAAGTTTTAACTCTAATAATTCACTTCCGGAGACTTTCTGTCTTCATCGAATCAGATTGTATCCTGACGGCACGAAGCTCCCTCCCCTCCACCCATTCCTCTAATTCCAAAGCCCTTTTTACGTCATTTGTGTTATGAAGGGCTTATAAATTCCTGGAGAGCATCAATAAAGAGTAAAAGACCAAACACCACCCAAGTTCAGGAGACTCACCCTAAAATTTGGTCTCTGTATAGTTCTTGCTGCCGGGACGGGTTTAGGCTGGTAGGTAGGGTTGGCTGTGGAGGTGCGTTTCGGTGGCTGCGGAGCATCCAAATCCAATCGCAACACGCCAACCATACCCGGCCAGTCAGTTACTCGGCCTCGATTCGCTGGTTTGGCCAGTGCTCTCAACCACTTAAACTGAAGAAATGGAAAATCTGAATGCTTCACTCTGGGTGGTAAATAGCACATTTCACCAAAGAGGTGTCTGACTGGTTTGCGCTATTATACACCTCAAGTCTTTCCATTCTTCCGTGTTTTGACCTTCGCATAGTTTGATGGTGGCAACCCTCTCACCTACTAAGAGGAGCTCATCCAGGCTAGTGTGTCCTTTTTTCCACCCTGAACCATCCGCCACAAGGACCTCAGAGGGAATTAGACCACAGAAGTTTCTACACTGACTGTTAATCTTTTATGTGGTGGATACTACTCGTGTCACAATTACAGGAGCACATAAGACGAGCAGGTGGGTCTGATTGGTCTTGTACTTTTAATGACAAGAGGATTACTTAAAAAGTGAAACTAGGCCTTCACTAAGAGAGACCGACCACGTGATGTCATCACATGTCAAATTCTAAATCTGGAGGCTACAGATTAAAGGTGCATAGCCTACCTCGAGATGCTTGCCATGTGAATTGGTGAGAACGCGTTCTGTAACAGCTCGAAGAATATTTCTATCTAAAAGCCAGTTAAAAATGTTTCCTTGAGCAAAATTTGAAATAATAAAACAATGGTACGAGAAAAACCTTTACTCCTGCGAAAAAAAAACAATATATATATATATATATATAATGCCTAAACGATCATGATTAGTGATAGACAAACTACTTACAATACCCAGTTTAGTACTCAGTAGTATGATATCCGGTGTTGTAATCAAAGTGAATGTTGGTTGACTACTCACATTAGATTTCGCACTGTTCCACCCGCACCAGAAGGACACTTCGAGGGAGATAAAATCTTGGCCATTTGGCACAAGGGGATGCCAACTAATACAAAAGTGGGACACCTGCGCAGAGGCATTAAAGTGAATTCTAAATCCACGGTTTCTGTCCCCTTTACAGCGATCTCTTATTAAGCGCGGTTCTAACGTCGAGCACTCCTAACTTTTTCACGGAAATCCGCTTGAGGCAGATGCTGTTTTACCTTGGCTAAAAATGCCTAGTGAATATGGAGAAGATTGGGGCCAAAACTGGAGATAACAGGCCTTTTCTTTAAAGGATTCGAATGCTGAAGGCGAAGTCCCCTTTAGAAAATATCTTACATTAATGGTGGGTACTAGTCTAGAGGTATCTTCAGGTCACACTCCGAAAAAGAAATTGGCACATTACACATATGTGAGGGTGGTAATTACTGGGCATTTAAGTGGCACCATCAAACGCACCCATTTTTTTATTCCGCCTCAAGTCGACAATGCCCAGTGTCCGGTTGCCCGCCATCTCGCCAGTGCCCTTTAACCCCTTGACGGGCGCCTTGAGGAGGTTTAACCACGCTTGACCTGCGGGGTCAGCAAGGCCGCAGTTTTGCAGGTCAATGGCTTTGACCCACCTATCGTCTCGCAGCACCTCGCACAGCAACTTGGAGCCGTTATTGCCTATGTGAGGGTTGTCATTCAAGGTTAGTCGGCGGATGCCACCCATCGTGTCCATATTGGGGGTCTGGTAGCGCAGAGAGTCTTTCCACATCTCGCCCTGACGTTGTAGGGCATGCACCTGAAAGAGAAGAATCACAAGCTCTAATGGATTAGGTAAAGTTAGAGGGAGTGCCAGACAGCAATTCCATATCTAATCAAATCGCAGGATTACTAGCCACAGCTGATCCCATTCTTATCACAATCGCCTCGTCACATATGTGTGACGTAGGTTACAGGAGAAAAATGTAGCATATGGAGGACTGTGGTGAGTAAAATTTCGTGCCGAACTTGGCGGAGAACGTATCAGGAGGAATGATGGCCTTTTAGTACAAAGGCAGCAGATGGGTCAATGAACCAAATGTTCTGCTTAAAGTGGGAGAATATTTCATAAACCATAATCCCTACATGAAATCTTAGAAAATGGATCATACAATTGTAAAATAATTTGAACGTTTTGCCATTTTAAATGGTTGAAGAAGAAAAAACTTCTTTAGGATCCATAAAGCAAGAGACAGTGATTATGTTCTCTGCAGTAGAGGATTAAGCAGAGGTACTTTTCGCCTCATCTCAATTTCGGTTTTTACCTTTTAATCATTTTGTTTTCTCCTCCTATATTCTACTAAAAAGTTTTTCTGCGTTTGTACCACCTTGTTAGATGGAACATGAAGAGATGGAACAGTTAAGTGGCCTTTTCCTGGCCTAACGCATTCATAGCATAAAATAACTAATCAAGATTGCAAAAAAGGCCAGAATTTTGCAAAAACTTGAAGAATTATACACCTGCCTAAGTGATGCCACTTTTCAGAATGTTTTTGTCAAAAAATATACTTCAGAATTTAGTGAATCAATCGATCACCTACTGATGGAAAAAAAATAGTAGTATATTTCGAAAGTGACTCTTCCGATGTGTTAGCCGTAAATTTGTGCAAATACAGCTAAAAAGGAGAAAATAAAATCGACAAACAAACGGAATGGATTTTGGGTGTTCCATAACCTCACCTTTTAACTCACACGAAAGGAAAGCAGACTCTAAAATTTATTGCACGACCGGTTAATTGTTTGTTTTGAAGGAAAAATTGTGTCCACACTGAGGTTGCCGCATTGGCCGAGTACATGCCCACTTTTCGGTTATTGTTACGCAAATCAAATACAACTGCAACCACTCAGCAGAAAATGGACAGGAATGCTGGGAGGGAGGGGGGGGGGAAGAGGACAAATGGAGCAGTCATGTTTATATCCCCAAAAATAAAAAGGTTGGTGATAAATTGATTTGAGCCATCTAAACCACCAATCACCGGCGCCTGAGTGGGCGTATTATTGTACCTCCTGAAGGTAGCCAGTGGAATGAGTAAGCGATGGTATTTGCTGCGGAAATGGAGTTAATGAACCACAAAAATTGTCAGGTCGTGTGATCATTTCGTTCCTTACACTCTCTTCCGTCTTACTCCCCTCCTCGGGCCACCTTTTTTGTCAGTGGAATGCCCTTAGCCCAAGTCAGAAGAGGCGCTGGCGAAAGGCGGGTTAGAAAAACCTCCAAGGTCCGGATTTAGCACCGTCAACTTTGTAAGAAATGCAATTCCCCTAATGCCTGACGTTTCTAATTTATAAAAGGGATTTCTTAGACAATTTTTCTTTTAGCAACCTTAAATGCAAAAAAGGGAGGGAAAATTCTTCATTTAGTCTAATATTACAGATGGCTAGGAGGCAGACGACTTGGTCATTGTGGCCAGCCCTTCAGTGGGGTAATTCAAAGTGACATCGCATTTCTGATTTGGCGGCAAAGCAAAGAGAAATCTTATTATATAAAATTATTTTGAATTATTTTATTTGCAGAAAACCAAAACGATTGGTTAAAACAATGATTAGGGATCCTCCAATGTCCTCACCCCAACGTAGAAGTGATTTCTTGAAAGAAAAGTCCATTTTAGCATTTTTTAGGAGGGCAATTCAAAACCACTTTTGTATTCACTTACGACAGGAAGGAAGCCAACAAAATGGGGTCGAATTGGATCTCAGAGGCACTCCTTTATTTTTGGAAGGAAATCTGATTTCACCAGAGACCAGTTTATCGCATTCACCTGCCTTTTGGGTACTACTGCGACCGAGTCGACATCTTTTTAGACAGGAGGGTGGGGTGTCTATGCCATCCTCGTGTACATTGTGGGAGACGACAAAAAGAAGGAAGAAAGGAGGGGAGGGTGGGGGAGGGAAAATTAATTAGCAAATTAACCCTTCATTTACCAACTCCACTTGTATTTATCCACCAATTTGCTTTTTGTCAGGATAAAAACTTGACAAAGATTGTAAACATTTGGCACTTTAAATTGTAGGGAATTATTCGAGATCTTTAGTCACTGGAGATTCCGTAACTGGTGCGGTAGTCCACCAGTTCTTTAATACGTCAAGCCTTTAGGGAATGCCTAGAAGCTCTCTACTGGTAGTAAATATTCGCAAAACTCGTCACAGGGAGGAACAGCTCGGATCCTCTTGACTGAACGCCACCTAGTTCAAACCCATGGACGTTGGTAAGATGGATCAACGCCACTTTTACCACGTTGAGAGACCACTTATGCTGCCTAGTGGAGAGCTTCGATGTAGCCAAGAATCGTCAAATGTGGTCTCGGGAATCTCTGAGAAGAACAGGATCACTTAGCAGGAAGACATCGAGCATCGGAAGTCATTAGACCACTCAAGCAACCAAATTTGGTGGTTTCAAAACCAATTGTTTAGACTTACTCACGCTTACTCACCTGTGATAGCAACTCCTCGGACAAATTCAGTCTCCGTGGATGGTAGAAGAGCATTCTAGCCGTGTTTGCAGCCTTTCAGGTACCCTAGAAGGCTCGAGACACTGCGGAGGTGACACACACACACATGAATGGTCCCCAAAAGTCAGTCAATAAGACAAGACTGACCTTTTCTCCTCTCGATGCAGTTTTACACCTACCTTTGCATCGGATCGGTCAAAATTACAAAGCGCTGTCCGGACAGCCAGTTTACCCGTTGATTGATACATCATGTGACGGTCCAAGACACTGTCCTTAACTACTCTCCTTCCTTCTTTCATTTTCATTTTTTTATAGTGCCCAAATCAGTTTCGTAAAACAAAAATGCCTCTGCATTCTTTACAAAAATTAAAGGCCAAGTTTTTTATCTTAAAAGAGCAACTAAATGGCGGAAAAAATTACAGCACATGCTGTTTCATTGAACTAGGGTCAAAACGGTTTTCGGCAGTTTGTTTAGTTAAAGACTTCCTTGAAACAATGGCACATACTTTTCCCTTCGGTTTCGTAAAAGGCAAAAGTATAAAAAAAAGGAAAATAAAGTGTTACAGAGTAATGAAAAAACATCTATTTGTGGTGGTGAAATGCGAAGCCTTGGTTAAGGATGCTTAAGAATAAGTTATTTTACCGAATAAATGATAAAAAAAGAAAGTAGAAATTAGCCGCTCTCCTCCGTCAGATTGGCATCAGTAAAAGATGTTAGCTGTTTCCGAAATTTGGCTGTCCTTTGATCGGCGTCCCGCAGAATACGGAGAAAAAAAGACTTCATTAGAGTGGAAGTACTACACTACTTTCCTGTCCCCTCCAGCGTCAAGATTCCTTGAAAAGGACGGCGAGGGCAAGCGCACACCGTGGCGTCTTGGTGTGCAGGGAGAGGATCAAAAATTGGGGCGCTGTTTTTTGTCCCGCCTTTTTGTCTCCTCAAAATCACTTTAATTTGTTTCGGTCAAGTAGGATTGGTATGTTACTTATGAGATGACCAAATTGTATTGGTGAGACTGGAATAATGTTTGTCTATTGACTTGCAAAAGATTTTTCCAAAACCACTGATAGTAGAGAAGGCGTAGAGGCTGCGTAGGCTGTACATTAAGACAATTTGATTCCTTCACCGTATCTGAACTGGCCGTCTTTTAATAACCCTCTGTCCCACCTTGGTTATAACTACTTATTCATGTACCTAAAACTGTGAAACATTAAAGCAAAGACATCTTTTAGGTCTGCACCCCGATCTTACATTTTCCGTGAGGATTTTTTTTTCGGGTTGCCATTAAATGCTACTTTAAGTAATCTATGAATGTAGTGGATCAATTTGAGACGAATTGTAATGCTGAAGCATTTTGGACGTGGTCAAACAAGTGCAAGACATCTTAAAATACTTATTCCACTCCATATATTACCAGTTTTCTTTTTAATTGAAGATGGTAATATTTAATTGCGTATTTGAGGCAATCCACGAGGGTAAATTACCCGACCCTAATCGCGATAACCCAACCCGAATGCTGATTGGTGCATCAGGCGTTAGCCAATCAAATTTTGGCACAGAACTGTAATATACCAATCTCCCTACGTGAGCGCACTAAAATCGCAAATAAGGACACCTGAAAATGAGTGAGCCTTTCTCTCCCACTTTTTGTTCATGCTTTTTCCCTTAAATTGTTATATGCACTTTTTGATCGTCTTTTGTCATGTCAATTGCTGACGTCTGACATTGACAGGAGAGAGAGAAACCTAAGGCGCTTTACTGGCTCCATTTGTGACACAGCAATTGATGAAACTCTCAGGCGTAACATGACAGTGAAATTCGGACAGATTAAGTGATTCATTTAAAATATTTGTGGCTCTGCAGGCAAATGACTTCTTTTAAAGCCCACTTGTCAATTATTTTCGTCAATTGAATACAATCAGTTTAATGCCTTCACCAACTGTGTTGCTCGGATTTTTTGGCTTAACCGCACCGTTGTAAATGTTGAACAAGCGCTTGCTATCAACTCATGACGACCAGCCCCACCAAGTCGTTCACCCGACAGATTGAAGGAGGGGCAAGGCAATGAATCCGAGTGACGACGACCCTAATTTACAAATAACTTCATTTTTTGAGGGGTGGGAGGATTTTTAAATCTATCTTACAAAAAAACTAATAACAACTGATATCATGTCAAAGGTATAAGTCATGTGGACTACTACTCCCTTATGCACGACTAAGACGCTGGCAGCGGGCCCAAGAACTGGGACCGAAACCCAGGGTGGATTTGCGTGTAAAAATGGCAAACGCAGTCAACTGGATCTCAGAAAAAAAATTCAAAAAAAAAACACCAGGAAAGGTAGTTTTTAATTGCAGCTTTCAGAAAAAAAGGACCTTTCCATTCACTAGTCTTTATTCATGGGAGATGGTAATGATAGCACGTCATTCCACCGATTTATCGCTCCTGTTTACTGGTCAAAATGATTAATTTCCTCTCGCCCTGGCTATCTTATCCCCAAACTTTAAACGTTGACCATAAAAAGGGCCTTTGATAATTCCCCCATTGACAAATCTGTCAAAACTTATTCGCTCAGAAAAAAATTTTTGGAGTTAAAATGTGGCGGCATATTTTGAGGTACTTTGTTACCAAAGTGGGGAATGCAAGTGTGCCCCCCCCTCGGTTTTATTACTTATTAGAAGGCTATCCAATGCCCCTGATTCTTCGCCTCCCTTTCACCCTCTCAACCTCGCCTCATGAATTAGTTAGGGGACAGCGGAACACAAGTTAATTAGGAAATTCCAGACAGAAAACTCATAAAACTTCGTTCCCACTTTCCTTACTTTAACATTTACTTGACAAAAGTGTAACTATAAAGATGCCTGGGCTACGAGCTACACACTTTTTATTCCCTTCTTGCCCTTTTTACCTTGTGGCGTGTGTGTGTGTATGTGGCAGTGGTGGCGGTGGTGGGCGACACAACAGTGACGCTTTTTGGCATGACAAAAAGGTAAACAAATCAGCCTTTTACAAAAAATACATCAATATCACCCTTATAAGTGCCAAAATAAAATTAGCAACTCATTAGGAATTCGTTCACCTCAAAGTTCAAGTTTATAAAGGGCAAAATGGAAATAAGGAATTTCCTTGGGGAAAAAGGCTGCTTTACCTCCTTTTAATAGGGCAAAATTAAGTTGAACTCAATATCTGACAATGAAGTGGTTATTTATTTGTCAAAAGCCACCTCCAATTAGGCTATTTCTACCTCATTAGCTAGAGGCTGAGGAATGCCTGCCTCCAGCCTCCCACCCCCACCCGCCTTCCCCCCTTGTTACTGCCATGCCAAAGTGTCAAGTCTCTCCTGATAACCCAAGACGAGTCAATTTTTGAGATTTTCGTTTTTCCTAGAAAATAATAAATTTGTGCATTTTTTTGAAGTTAACAATATTTCCATGATTTAGCAGTTTGTCTATTTGGCATCTGTCAATGTCATAATATACGTGATTCCCAAAATCCTTTTTTTGAACAATAACAATTCAGTAAAGGATTTGACTAAAAGCGAGAACTTCGCTTAAATGAGCCACCTAATTTTAAAGGCAACCCTGAGTATTTACCCCCAGTCGTCCCACTCAATCCCGCCTGAACTCCCCACCCCCTCTCCTCTACCTCTGACATGTGACGCCTGTCATGTGACTCCTCTAGTCTGGTAATACAGGCGCCCCTGTGGCTTAGCCATAAAACCCTATCAATCGTACGGTGAGGGGTGCCTGTAAAATTCATGCATGAATTGCATCGAAGGCGATGTAACAGGAGCAGGTGCCCAAATTCAGCCAGTGGAGTTGAATTGCCTTCTCAAAGAGGGTAAAAATGGTTTTTCTCCAGACAATCAACTAATGAATTCTCCCCCAGAAAGTAAATGTCTCAATTTTTGTAACGAAATTTTTTGTGCTTTAGACGACTCCACCAATCAAAACATCAGCCTACTACGCGGAAAAATCATCTACCAGCACGAGGGCCGACCAGTACTGCCCCCAGAGAGCGCTGATGAGGTGTCGCATTCGAATGAGGGACCCTTTTTGGCGGTTATTGCCATTGGAAGCCTGTTTCTTCTCCTCACTATCACCACACTCGCCGTCAGTCTTGCCTTTTTGCGTCAACACGCTCGCAATGAGCGTCGCCTTCGGTGCAGTGGCAATGCTCGTGGCGGAGGCGTCGGAGGCAACGGTGAAACCAATGAGGTTGATGTTTTTATCAATCCCAGAAGTGAATGGCGCTGCAGTCTGGAATCGGACAGTTTTGAGGACATCTCAGACATTTCTATGGAGGTGGAGGTGGAGGAGGAGGAGGAGGGGCAGGAGGCTCAGGAAGAAGGAGGAGCAGGCAGGGAGGTGGGAGAACCCACATTTGCGTGGGTCTACGCAAATCCTCGCCTATGTCCAAGGCATTCACGAGCTGCTGTGATCCAGGGCTCGAGGCTCAAGACGTCTTCAATTGTGCACGATGTTTAGTGCTCCTGTTTACCCGATTTTATAATTAAACAATTTTATCAAAACAAACCTTCTTCTGCATTCCTAAGTGGACACTCGGATCTTACCAAATGGTGGAAACGCTTTCCCCCCTTCCCATTCTAAATTTGCCATCAAGCGCCCTTTGCATCGGTGGGAGGCGGTGATGCTAAAATCCGCCCCAACGGAACAAGACGCACAAAACAGAAAAGGCTTTGTAGAAAAAAGGAGCGTCTGAAGTGGATTGATGAATTGTTGGTAGTTGAAAGAAGTCAAGACGGAATTGATAATTCCCCTTGGAGCTGCATTTTTTTTCCTATTTATAAGTAAATAATTCCAAGATTGGTGATTGACAACCGAAAAAGTGAGCGGTGTCTAAGATGCTGGACGTTTTTTTTTGACCCAGGGGTGTCAGTGATAAGGAAGGGAGGAAAAAACGACTTCACTAGCTTTAACTACCCCACACAACAGGCGCGTTGAGTACTAAAAGGCTGCTTTTAGCTACTGCGCGGTTCTTACCCCTCGTTCAGTGCGTTTTCAGGGGTAAAATATGCCTCTGATTCAATAAAAAATTGAAAATTTTCTTCACTGCATATTAGAGGTAGATGCGGAAAAAGTTGGCCTAAAAAAACGTACAAAGTGGAAGAAAATATGGAGAGAAAATTGTCTTCCTTTTTGTCTAGAACTGAGGGGAGAAAGGCCCTGGTCATTTGGGTACAGTTTTACACCATCCACTGGTACAAAGGTGCCTTAGGTCGCTGGAAAGAAAGAGGAAGTCACAACCCCATCCTATAAACTGGACGATGTGGGGGCACCGAAGCTGCCGGGCGTGGGGGGGGGATATGGCGGAGGGAGCTTTGAAAGCCCCCCTTCCTCCACCCCTGGGCAACCACCACAACTACAAGGAATAGGTAAATAAATCTTCTAGAGAAATGGAAACAGTTGAAGAGGCCTCTTGAATACGTTGGAGGATCTGCTTACGATGGTCAAATGCATGTCAGATGCTAGGTGTGAGGCTTTAGAGAGATGACCACTTACCTTCTCTTGTTTTTGACGGGATCTACCTGCCTGGTAAGGCCAAAAAAGAGGATGGTTTAAAATTTTGTTATTTTATTAAGAAAAATAGCCTACTTCAGCTTTTCCCTACACATCTGGAAAAGCGACTTATTAATTCTGACAGGTGTTTGCATCAATTTTTGCAAAGATCCATCCACGCAATCCGGGAGTCAAACAGACCCGAGGGGGAAGGAAGGCGATTAAATGTACCAAACCCAGGATAACTTTTCATAGACAATAAAATTTCTTCCACTTCACTCTTTATCATGATCCAGTTGGGGCAGTAAGCAAGACCTACATCTTCATCAGTCGCCTTCCAACATTTTTGGCTTATTTTAATTGGTAATATCAAATAAAAGATCTTTTTTCCTGGAAAAAAATCTACTTTAAAGCGAATAATTAAATCAGGTTGTTTTAAATTTGGTATTTTCGTTGTTGTGGTGGTCCATTTTTACCCTTCCTTTGCATCCTCAAGTACTTCAACCACCTGGAAAATTCAATCCCTCCCCCAATTACGGGTAGGCCAAGCGTAAAGACACGACCATCCCGGAAATCGTTTTGTTTGAAGCAAGAAAAAAGAAACTGCCAATTCAAAAAAGGAAAGGCAAAAGAAGGGGAAAACTTTTTTAGGCATTTGGCTCAGCTGGTAGGAGGTGGAGATTGATGGATGTGGTTGTTTAAGCAGCTTATTCAAGTGGATGGGAGGCTTTGATGTAACGCCGACCTCTTAAAGGCAATTGTGCTGCTGCATTACTTGTGCTTAAAAAATTTTGGCGCTTTTTTAAAGTTAAGAGGAGAAAGGGGCTTTTTCCCGATCCACCTACTTGTATGCATAAATGGCAAGACCTTCACGGCCCTGTCCCTTGTTTTAGGGAAAACACTCTTTGTGGGGTCTTTAATATAAAATGCGATTCTTATCTTTGATTTGTTTGACCAAACGAAAGCATTTTTTTTTCTCTCATGTAAATTTTGACAGGAACCGGGAGGGTGGGGTAGGAGTAGGGGCGGGGACGGAAATTTACCCTCAAGCTCATCTAAAAGAGCATAAAAGACATCAGTTTGTGTAACTTTCTGTTCTTTTTGATGTGGGTTATAGGCATGCAAGTTTACTCACTTATTTTTGCTAAACTGGGAAAATTAAGGTAGAAAAATGAATAAAATAAACCACAATTTTGAGGCCTATTAGTGAAAATTAGCCCAGTATAGCTGAAATGCAAAAGTTCCCAACGTTGGATGCTATTAATGCGGCAAAAAAGCTATTTACAGCCCGAGTAAAATGCATTTTTTTCTTTTTTCTGGTTGCGGCAAAAGAAGCACAAAGTAGTTTGCCACTTTGTAATGGCAGGAGCAAAGTGATGGCTATGATGTTGTCGGTGATTTCACCCACTTTATTCTTGAAAGTTTTTATTCAATTCTGACCAAAGATGGAAGAATGCTCTTTTGGTATTCAAACGTCACTTGCAAGACCTACCTTTTGGGTAAAGCCGGTAAACTTTCAATCAAATTGTTAATTAAAAGTGGTCAAATTGAGGCTATTTTGATAAGTATATGGCTAGCAGCTTAACGGAAAATGCGTCAAGACTTATAATTTAAAGTAAGTTTTTCGAATGGGGTAAAAAGGTCGGAAAAAACCTAACTGCATATTTTCACAGAGGCTGTTACATCTACCTACTGTATAAAACATTCTACTTATAAAGGCATAAGTAGAACTTCAATTAGCAGTTGCAAGAATACGCACTTGCAGGAGATTCACGATTGGTCGTATTCCGTTATCACTGATGCCACAGCCACTGAGATTGAGTGCGATGACGTGGAGGGTCCTCTTCAGAGCAGAGCACAGTTCTACACAAAAAGAAATACCAGCTTTCTTCCAGTCGTTTTTCTTCAAAGATCATCAAAAAATCAACCTCGGGTGCTTAGTTCTTGACAGACCTTCTACAACGACAACAGGTAAGTTCATACGAATTTATCATTTACAGCCTTTAAAAACGTTCAAAAGCACTAAATTAGGTGTTGCGTCTTTCTATCTAGTAATTTATGGAAATAAACTAGTAAGACACAACGAAAAATTTACAATTATCACGCAAGAATATATGAATTTGGGAACTGTAGAAACTAGGTTTAAAATGTCTTATAATCTGTAGTACATGAGGTGCTTCCTTAACTTGGAGAATGCATACCGAATTTATGGCCCTGAGATTAAGTGTCAATATGTGGTAAGTGTTAGGATTGCTTCAAAATCCATAAACGCAAATTGTGTATTTGTCTGTAAAAGGCAGAAAAAATTGGTAATTTACCCGTGACGGCACCGTCTCCAATTTGGCTATTTTCAAACGACAGAAAGCGCAGGTTTCTTGCTTTTACAAGTCCCTACAGGAAAGAAAACTTTAGACAAATGATTTAATAATCACAAGGAATAAATCTCTAATATATTTAGAACAAGACAATTAAACAGCTTACTTGGCATAAGAGAACGATATCATCGCAAGCTAAGGGTAAATTTTGAAGTTCCAACATTCGGAGTGATTGGTTAGCAGTAGCAGAGATTAAAAGCGATCGGCATATGTCTGTGAGAACCTCTGGTTGCGTAAGATTACTCGGCTTTTTCGGGAGCTTAACTGAATCTTTTCGCTTATCTAAGACGATGCAGCGCAAAAATACACAATATATAATGGGTATACGCAATGGAGGCGTTTCCAAATAAACTTACTCGGCCTTTTGTAAAGCAGGCTTCGAAAAGCAATTGTTTGCGTTTTAGGAAAAACCTCAAGGGTACGAAGAACAGCATCTAGTTCTTTGCGCCTAAATCAGAATGATCCTGGCCGCGCAAATAAAGTACCTTATATTGTCTACATTAATATCAACAATGCGATCTTGGGCATGTCTCATAACACGTTTTAATGGTCCAGCATCATTTTGATCGCACATAAATTTATAGGTTTTAAGAAAATCCGGCGACTTTTCAGAACGTGATCTTGGTGAGACAGCCATAGCGATATGGCTAATTTTATGTGTATGTTGATTATTTCAAATATTCGGCTTGTTTAACCCTGTTGCAGTAAATTAATATGGTCCGCTTAAACGAGTAACGTAATATATTAAATTAAAAAAATAAATGCCATACGGAGATAAAAATTTTGATTACTACTTAATATTTCTTGCTTAGAACCCTTGTGCTTGTGTCTCATAGTGCAACAATCAGTATTATGAGTGGGTTAGCCATGTTTATATGTAATTAAATCTAAATGGCTGCGCATTGTATCAAAAAATTTGCCCTTTTTAAGTTGTTACAGCAAGCAAGAAAGTTGAATTTGATGTTAATCTTCTCCACTCTTTACGATGGCTTATCATATTACATTACTAGACCACGGTTTTCATGTTTGACTAAATGGTCACCACTTTATGGCAGTAATTCACTGCCTGAACTTTAAATGGCTGTATTCTGATAGCATTTTTGTTTGTGTTTTTAACGCAATTTCGTATTTGGTGAAATACGCCTCAGTTAGTTGGTAATATTTTAGTCAATTTTTAGTTCTCAGGTTCGGCTTCGCCTATGATATGTGCTTTTGCCTGATAGTGTGACACTATTGGCATTTTTAGGCTAATTTTATCATAAATGAGTATAAGTTTGGATTTTGGCTCATGCATACGGGATCCAAACCTCATAAAAGAAGACGATCCGCTATAAATGTCTTAACTTCCGAAGTCTCACTACAGTCGACTTTAAAAGGCATTCACTTTTGACATATGTCTCATTTTGAGTTCTATTAATTAACCACTGCTAACATGTTTCTAGCTAGTTGCCTTTTAAACTGACATGGCCTGCTCTCGTATTTGGGTAGGACTTGGCGATGTACCAACTAACTAATTATATTGATACGATTATCCATTGCGTATCCAACACTTTTCCTGTCTTTTTTGGTTTTTTGTTTATTCGTAAAAATTTTAGCAGGTATTTTTTCCAAGACCTTCTTTTTTGCCCGAATAACTTTACGCTCAAAATGCACTCTTCCAGTTCTTCCGGACTGTGTGGAAACCACCTTATTTCTTGTTAATTTTTAGCTCTAACTTTTGGTAATTTCATGCGCCCATTTGCATAAGGGTAAGTGTAAATGAAGGCTTAGTTAGAGATAATGAAGGATCAGTACGGTTTCATACTGCAGCCGTGTTGCACACCGAGATGACAGAGTAACACTGTGACCGATGCTTCATGGAAGACGCAATGGAACGTAAAAATCAAAAAGGAATGACGTCGTAAATAAGTGTAGAAAGTGGATACAACTTCTAGGACTACGCAAATTGAGTGCCCTCACCCCAGGGTATTAGCCGAGTGGTGGGAGACTTGATACATACTTTATAGTTAAATGCTAGACTAATGCTTACCTAATCGCCCACAGCTCTGCCGCCGTGGTCACTCAAAAAGGCTCTGTGGCAAGTGACCATCCCTGCAAATAAAGGAAATTAATTTTGAGCCATGGTCCTTACTGTCGTTTGGAGTGCAGAATCATTCCATTTTATACATCTAGTGCATTCCACATTCCACTCGCTAAGTTGGTTAAAATTGCACACCATAAAAACAACTTCAAGAAGATAGGAGGGGCAGAAACGTGGTCCACATCAAAGGCCTAAATCAGTAAGGGTGGGTTACGTACATTCCTCCCTTTATTTAAGGACCATGACTGCGGACCATTCAGCAAAACGCCTTGGGGATAGTGGGCGACTGATCAAAGAGACGCCGTGAAAACCGCGGTTAAGTATGCCTAACACACTCTGTATTTTGGCAACTTGAAATGACCTTCGTAACTGCAATTATAGCACTTTTTAATTAACTCGAGAAGCTCCAGTCACATTAAATCAGTTTTGAATGTCTAGAATTTGTTAATCTTTTTGCTTTCGTGCATTGACAAAAGGAAAGAGTATACATGGATGCAGGAAAGAAAGCCCGACTGCTGGATGTAAGAAGTTGCATGCCCTGGTACTTTGATAGTTTACTCAATTTCCTTTGCTAGAAATGACTTTAATGAGAGGAAGTAATTTTGGCTGAATTAATATGGATTTGCCATTGAGTTAATTCCACCAATTCATACAGACCGTGCTTCCCTTCTTCCATTATCGGCCATAAAGCCAATCACAAGACCAGAGGAGTTGTCACAATTTTACGTGGATTTGTTAGCCCTTCAGTTGGGAGTCTTAGCACACAAAATACGTCTTCCCACTATCAT